TTCATTGATATTTTTTTTGCCTTCATTATAAAGTATATTAACCTAGAATTCAATTATTTATGCACTAAAAGGACTGTAAGGAAATGATTGATTTTAAATCAGTGTTATAATTTGTGGAGAAAAATTATGCATTTCAGTATTACTCAATGATCTTGCTGATGTGACCTTTGTTCAAATTTAAATTTAATTTAAATCGAAGGGGGAAAAGATTTTCAGTGGTGGTGGAGGTGAAAAATCAGCTTGACCTGACACCATTTGATATGTATTTGATGCAATACTTGATTCAGTGAATTGATGAGCAGATTTCATCATTGATAGGACATTTTAACTGTCGCAACAAATATGTATTATAAGGCACTACCCGCTGATTGGTGATTTCTTGCTCAACTTGACGTCCATATTGTCTCATTTTGATCTGGCCAGTGTGACCTCCATCTTCTAGTTTTCTGCTTCTATATTTTGGATAGGAGTCATTCCTTTGTTCAAGATTAAGTTTAATTTAAATCAAATGAAAATAAATTTTCGTAAGTTGCGTACTGTGTTAATAATTTGTATCAATATCAAGTTACATTCACAAATGTTAAGTCAGGGTAAGGTTGGGGTGTCTAAATTTAAAGCGGAAGATGACATTGTCTAGTCTGGTTAAGTGTCTATGGAGATTTATTTATTTTTTAATTTTATTTTTTTCTGAAAGGGTTTTGTGTATAAAAAAACTGTCGTAAATCGGTAACATTTGTTTTTTGACGACTTCATAAAGTTATCTTTTTTGTAGGGTATTTAAACTATTTATTAGGACTATGGATTTTAAAAATTATTTTATTGTTTGTTTGTTTTTATGCTAATTATTCAATGCAAAAATTTGATGATGTCGGCAAAAAACCGTTAACTCATGTCTATTGTTTAATAGATTTTTATTATTTAGAAACACACATTATTAAGTTTGCCATTCCCTTTTCCCTTTTCAAGGTGACAGGCTAGATAGGAAAAATTCTATAATTGCTCCCCACGCCAAAACTTACTGTGGTCACAATTCACCCCTGAAAATCCGAAATTCACTCTCTGGGGTGAATTTCACACCTGCTGAGAAACCCTGGTCTGGCACGACACAGTTGACCAAATTTTATAGCCAAAAAAACAAAAAAAAACAACTAACAATTGATGTCAGTGGAAAATATTAAATCGTGAAGACGCAATGAGTTACTCTCCTGGAGGTTAGCATCAGTCATAATGGTGGAAGAAGAAAAACCGAAATGCTGATGCCAGTCAAAAATATTTCGCTCTCTGGAAACAGGGAAATGTCCGAGGAAGAGCAACAGAATATACTATAGATGAAACTCTGGCCAAGTATTTTATGACTCACCATTTTTTTTTTTTTTTTTTTTTTTTTTTTTTTTTTTTTAGCATTTCACCCCAAGCAAGGTGGGAGTGCCACTAGCACGTAAGGGGTTACGGAGAGTAAGATTAAAAGGGGGTGTTTGAGGAAAGGATAAAGAGAAAGACGGGAATGAAGACCAATGCATCGGAAGATATCAATTGACATTACATTTGAATACTGGGAGATTATAGCTATCAGGGAAGCAAGTAAGAGGAAGGGAGTTCCACTGTCGGGAAGTGCGAGAGAAGAAACTGTTAGAGTAGAACAGGCGGTTACATTTAACTGTTTTGACAGTGAAAGGGTGGGGCCGAAATGACAACCTAGTAGCACGCTTAAATTCATGCAGTCGCCAGAGCAGTTGCCATGAAAATATTTGTAGAAAAGACAGAGGGAAGCTATATCACGTCTGTGAGGAAGTGACTAGTCGAGATGCCACGCCAGGGCCTAGACAGTAATGATAGGATTTGTAAAGTTCTACAACCAGTAATCAATATTTGAAGAACAATAATGACACAGTACGCCGAAATTCACAAAAATAAATCTGTTTCACTTGTGGTATTACTCAATTTTGTCTGCTAGGGAACTTCTCTTAACGCCCGAAAGGCGGCGTTGTATAAAGCGTTTCAAAAACAAATGACTCAAAGACTTTTTTTCGTTTGATTTCTCAGCTATAATATGTGTAAGAAGTTCCTTAGTCCGTCTTCTCTCTCTCTCTCTCTCTCTCTCTCGCTCTCTCTCTCTATCTATCTATCTATCTATCTATCTATCTATCTCTTTGCCTTAGTATACTATGGTGACACAGATCCTTCTCGTTCCACAGCCGAACAGACCTCTTCGTCCTTAAGCAAACTGACTTTTTATTCAAAAGAACCATGTTGTGCATCACACGCATACACTGATGCATACGCTCATACACACACTCACACACACACACACATACACACACAAACACACACACACACGCACACATGAATATTTTTTTTGAGAAATGTTCTGCATTCGAAGAGATGAGCAGGCTCAGTGGAGAAATTGTTAGCAGCTCGGACTGAGCAATAGGTGAATCGCGTTCCGATCGAGTTCATTGCTGATAACTGAGCCTCTGACGAATTAAAATTTGTCCAGTGAGACTTTGTTTTTAAAATGTTTCTAAAGAGAGACATTTTCATTGAAAATATTTGCCATTACTTTATACGGGTGATATCGTTCCACGGAACATTGAACCTGACCTCATTTTACACAAATTTCACCGGCTTCCGTGTTCGTCGCTCGAAATAACGTTTTCTCATCCTAGATGTTTTTGTCCAGATGTTTGTAAACAGATTTGTTCGTGATCCCAGCTTCCACTCTCATTATACATTATTTTTGACTAGCTTAAAAGCCACCCCATCGGACGGCAATTAATCTTACTCCTGCAGAAAATTCTTGGTTAGGCCATCAGCTTGTTCAGGAGTTTGAGGATCCTTAAGTCTTTGCATATTCTCAGCATTGGAGGTTATACTGACTATCGTTTGATCTGGGTTTTCATTTACAGGGAACATTCTTTTCCTCGTTGAAGCCTTGGAATTTTTTTATGCAATCTGGTCCTCTGTTGACGAAGATTTTTTTTTGCGAGGCATACTTCCCAGTTATCTTCTGTTAATTTCACTGTGCAAGGACACATGGCACAGTGGATAAAGTGCTTTGGTTACATCCAGTGACAGGACCCAAAGAGTTCAATACCCAGTTAAGGCAGTGGAGAACTTTCAGAGGGAAATTAACAGGAGATAACTGATAATTGACATCCATTAAACATGGCACGTGGAACTAGAACATTCTACCCCAGTGAGCGAAATAAAGAGTTAAGTTCGACATTCCAACCAGCTGAAGAAACGTTGTAATAAATATGGCGACAAAGATGAGGACAATACTCCGAATAATGTAAATAATATACATAATACCTCATCTCAGAAATATAGACAGATAATACATTTTTGAAAAAAAAAATGTTACCTGGAATGCATTTTTAAAAAAATATTACCAGCAATAAAAATCTTGTGGACATTAAATAACCCATAAAACAACCAGTAAAACAAACCAAACCAGTGAGAATCTAACATAATATTCAATCCTAATCGATCTAGCAACACAAGCTTGCTGACCATTACACTACATCGAAGCGCCCAAATAGAGCCGATAAGGTTTTCTTTTTAATTAATACTTAATACTTATGTAAAATTAAGAACAGAATCATGTTTGTGTCTTTCTTTTAGTTTTGTTTTTAATATCATTTAACATTTTAATTAAAAAAATGAAAATATTGCCAAAGTGTCGGACGCATATTCCTGGCTTCATTTCGTTGAATACTTTATTTTATATGTGGGCATTATAATAATTTGAGATTAAATGAACCGAATGGCTTCTCATAGCAACACTTTGTACGCATATAAATGTTACCAAGGTGATCCGATAACGGAAGTTTGTTAGTACATGCTAACAGTCTGTTTTCTAAATATGAATGGCGGAATTTTCACACTGGAGCGAGGAATACTTGTACGCTTTATTAATAAAAATCCTTCAAGCACGAACTCCTAACTTCATAATTACCAAAATGAATGCCCCCATTAATATAAATTAGCCTTTATAAAAAGAAAATTAGTACCAGATTAATCTTTCGGTTCAAAAGCGAATTTCTACAAAGAAAGTATTTGATATATATATTTTCCAAAAAAAAAAATTATTATTTAAACAAGAAATTAATAAAAGTCGGGATACAATTATATTTTCCAAACTTAAGAAAACCCCAGTATATTCGAGAAAAATTAGGCTAAAAAAATAAAGAAAGTCCGACCTATGATACCGGAAATAACAATAAAGTCCTGTCTATGATACCGGAAATAACAATGTTACATTAGCTTTGGCACTCGGAGCCGAAAGAAAGAAAGAAGAAATAAAAGGAATAATGAAAGAGTGTGAGGAGACAAGAAAATTATTAAATGAAGAAATAACCATGATATTGTATACATGTGCACATACACGCACGTACACGCGTACACGCACACGAAAAGAAGACGAAATAAATCAACCTAACATCAATAAAAAGCGCATAAATTATTTTTTAACTTAATATAAATATAACGAAAATAAGAAAACGTCAATCAGCTGAAAGACAAATTTTATATGTCTATTAAACATATATATATATATATATATATATATATATATATATATATATATATATATATATAATACACAAAATGATAATGATCAGAGTTGAATCAATCAAAGTTTCTTTGGATCCGGAAATGTCATTATTGAACCTTTTGAACCAGAATCCTTAAGTCATGGAGTCCTTACATACATACTAAAAAATTCCTCGTAAGCACCTATGAGGCTGGATAAAAATGTACATTCTAATTAACCCCACACCGATATATTTATAATATCCTTGCTTTTCTTTTCTTCTCTATCTTCTTCTTCTTCTTCTTCTTCTTCTTGACATCCTCCTCCTCCCTTTCTACCACACCCAATGTTGTGCGATTTTTTTTTAAATAATATAGCGTTCATTATTTTTTAACAAAATAAAGCGTTGGGAGGTCAATTGATAAAATATCGCCTGAGGTAGCGAATCCAACTGATCTCCTAATATTTAAAGTACACACACACACACACAGAGAGATAGATAGATAGATAGATAGATAGATAGATAGATAGATAGATATAAAAGGCTCAAACACTAATATTCCATGGTTATAATTTATTACAATTACGATCCAATTCATCAGACCTACGAGTTCAATTGAATTTGTAAGTCTGGTGAATTGGATCGTGATTACGATTCCAATCTAATAAATTATAACCATGGAATATTAGGGTTTCAGCCTTTCATATTATATTCTTTACTCTGTTCTGGACATTGAGTTCTAGCTGGATTCTATCCTCTTGGGAATTTATATATATATATATATACTGACCTCTAATATTATATATATATATATATATATATATAGATATATATATATATGTATAAAAGTATAATAAGAGTAGATAGGATCCTCACCTTTCTGGTTTTTGGAACATGAATAGAGGTTCATATCCCTTGTTTCCTGTTTAGGATTAGGTTTCCTGTTCCTTGTAAATTCTTTTCTTTCTTTCACATCCGGTTACCCCCGTGAGATTTCGTGTCAAGGTGCGTTTCGGCAGCCAAAATTCTCTCAAACATGTTTGGTCGAGTAGAATTGGTTATTTCCTGTGTTTCCTCAGGCAAACTTAATAAAACGGTCAAACCGGATTTTTTAAGTGTATTATATAAAACACAATCCTTGAAAATTAATGTATCAACATTCGAAAGTGCTCGGGAAAAATAAATTACAAATAAATATTAATTTTGGTAAATTTACCGATTATATAATTTCGGAGTTTTAAAAATGTTAGTAATATACGAAACAGTCCATCACCAAATGACATTAGGCAACATTAAATATAGTAACAGTACTGCCCTCTCTAATATTTCCCGAAAAATATAAACGGTAATAGTAATCGAACTATCACTGGGTATTACGTAACAAAAATCAAACCCTTCCGCGGAAAAGGCGTTAAATGTAGCTTATGTCTTTCTGAGAAGTTAATGATCCTAAAAAAAAATTAGATAACCCTAATATGTTAAACAAAAGAAGTAAATTAATGCTTCCTACTCAAGCACGTTGAACCAAATTAATATAGTTTTCTCTCTTTCGGACAGCACAGATACTAGTTTTAATGTTGCTACTATTATCACTATATTTTTATATTTATATTTTTTACTGTTATCATATCATTATTATAATTTCTATGACCTATCATTATTATTATTGCTATTATTATTATTTTTACTATTATTAATATTATTATTACCTATTATTATTATACCTTTATTACTATTATTTTACCACTGTATACCTATTTTTTCTATTATGATTTTATCATTAACTAATATTTTAACCAAAAAGAGAGTCAACCCACTTGACTTTTAACATCTCTTTACCAACAGCTTTCGTAGACGACATATTTAAACGGAAATTAGAGTTCCTAATTTTTAATTTGCAATTCTAAGTGTGAGTTTGAACGAAATTTTAAATTCAAATTTAGATTATAGTACTATTAAATATTTAAAAACATTAATAACTTATCAAAATAACATCACAAGACTCAGGAATATTAACCAGACAGTAATCAGCTCCCCGTACCTGAAGAGTGCGTGGAACATGAAACTCCGAGTTGTAAAGTCCGCGTGGAGTATTATGTATATTTATTAACATTATTAATAAATATATTCCATAAAATACATCTATTGGATGCTTTGGTACACATCATCAGTGACATTTCTAGCCGAGGTTCATTAAGGTTTTCGGATCTTTCAATATCATACCCCATCTCCACGGTGGCCTAGCCGATACTGATCGGGTATCGATTTATGTACCTTAAGTTAGCTACAATTTTTTCCATCTTGCCGACTACACACAGCGACCCCACTTGGCAATCTTTGCTCCAATCCCGGATCACACACACACACACACATACACACACACATATATATACTAGTAGCATGGCCCGGCGTTGCCCGTGCTTGATTCAAAAATCGTACGACTCATACAGCAATCGCTATCACTTAACTTAAAATATTTTTGCCCGTCCTTGCCTTTAAAGAAGTGCCCTTTGCCGTGCTGATGTTGCTACGTACCTTACTTCTTACTTCTCACACTGCCAATTTTTTCTAAGCTCTATACTAAACATTAAATCTGTTACGAAAAAAGAACTAAACAAAATGAACACAGAACTATCAGCTTTAAAAAAATCACTCGTAAATGGAAAAACCGAATGAAAAAAGAATTTTAACAACAAATACTTTTTCACAACCAACCCAGTTCTGCGGAATCAGAATCAACGTTGAGTTTAAGCAAGTGAATGAGCCAATGGAGCCACTTGTGACGAATGCAGCTATCGATTTTTTTTTTGCATGCTAGCATGCTAGTTAACATTCGTGTCAGTCAGCTGTTGGCTCTCACGCTGGCCAATAGAATCTTCCTGCCTATTTGTGGCAGCCAGCTATCTCACTCTGGCCAGTACAAAATGGCCGCAAACTACATGAAAACTGCCGTAGAAGCATGAAAAAATCGATTATATCCACTATCGATGGTAGTTGGGAAACGCAAAGTCGGTCTTGGCCTTCCCGCTAACTTGGAGCATGTGCACGTAAATTTTGGTGCAAATCCGTCGAAAATTGCGGCCGTGCGATCGTTACACACGCACACACACATACGCACACATCCTGCCTTTCATATATATATATATATATATATATATATAGACACAAGGTAATGTTGAAATGTATTCGGATCGACCAAGGTAGGCATTCCGGAATTAGTTTAATTTGTAATTTTTTTATCATTTCATTCCCAAGGAAGCCGATAATGTCACTAGGACGCCGGGTAGGGATTGAAAGAGAAAAATAATTATTTCGTGAAAAAAGGACAATAAATGAACGGGGTTTAGGACGACAGAAGATGGCGATTGACATTGCATTTACATTTTTGAAGATCGTAGTTATCAGGAAGCAAGTAATCGGAAAGATTAGAACTCCTCTAAAAGAAAATATTAGAATAGAATGATGAGACCTAATTGCCAATCTAGTAGCACGCTTCAGTTCATGCAGTCGAGGCACTATGGAAAAAAAACAGCTCACCATAACCCCCTTCTTGATCAGAATTTTCCTGCACCCCCTAGTTGGGAGGAAATCACTGCAGTATGATGTTGCGAATATGTCAGCGGTAAATTCATCTTCCTTATTAAACATCTTCCTTGTTTTTCCTCCTCCTGTTTTCTGTTTCGTCTATTTCTTTAAACAAACCCACGGCCATCATATTGTTTGTCGTAAGTCCTCCCTCTGACGCCATATGGCTAGGTTGCATGTCCGCCATATTGGGCAATGTTTTCCACCGCTGGCTTATTTTTTTTTTATTTCTTAGTTTCTTTTTCTTTTCTTTTTTTTTAGTAGTGTTTCGCTTTTTATTTTATATTTTTTATTCCGTCGATGCTTTCTTTTTCGGCATCAATTACTCAATCTAAAATTGTTTGAGTTGACTCTTCGAGATCTTTCTTTCTTTCTTTTTTTTTTCCTTTTATTGTCCATTCCTCTTCCAAACGCTTTCAAAAGCATTTTATCGAATCGAATTACTTGCTGAACAAGGGCAAATTTTGCAGAAGTTACTTTTTTTTAAAGAATGCCAAAAGTGTGCAAGAATTTTACGATTAAGTTAACTTACCAAGGCATCTGAAGATTTCTTGATTACTAAAGCGTAGTAAAAAAAAATATATGCACAATTTCGAATGACTTTCGATGTTAATCATTGGACGTTCATTGAAACCGGTGAATTGAGACTGTGTAGTGACGGTTAATATTCTGGTTTCACAGCGCACTATTAGGAAGTGTTTAACGAAGCAGACTAACAGTCTATTGTCGTGTCGCCTTTTGTGAGACTAAGCTTGAGTTGAAATAGATAAGAACAGACTGAGATAGATAGATAGATAGATAGATAGATAGATAGATAGATAGATAGATAGAAAAAGACAGAAAAACAAAAGATATATGAGAACAGACTGAGATAGATAGATAGATAGATAGATAGATAGATAGAAAGAAAAAGACTGAAAAACAAAAGATAGATAGATAGATAAAGAACAGACTGAGATAGATAGATAGATAGATAGATAGATAGATAGATAGATAGATAGAAAAACAAAAGATATATAAGAACAGACTGAGATAGATAGATAGATAGATAGATAGATAGATAGATAGATAGATATAAAAAGACAGGAAAAAAAGATATATAATAACAGACTGAGATAGATAGATAGAAAGAAAGAAAAAGACTGAAAAACAAAAGATAGATAGATAGATAGATAGATAAAGAACAGACTGAGATAGATAGATAGATAGATAGATAGATAGATAGAAAAAGACAGAAAAACAAAAGATATATAAGAACAGACTGAGATAGATAGATAGATAGATAGATAGATAAAGACAGAAAAACAAAAGATATATAATAATAGACTGAGATAGATAGATAGATAGATAGATAGATAGATAGATAGATATAAAAAGACAGGAAAAAAAGATATATAATAACAGACTGAGATAGATAGATAGATAGATAGATAGAAAAAGACTGAAAAACAAAAGATAGATAGATAGATAGATAGATAGATAGATAGATAGATAGATAGATAGAATAGATAGATAAAGAACAGACTGAGATAGATAGATAGATAGATAGATAGATAGATAGAAAAAGACAGAAAAACAAAAGATATATAAGAACAGACTGAGATAGATAGATAGATAGATAGATAGATAGATAGATAGATAAAGACAGAAAAACAAAAGATATATAATAATAGACTGAGATAGATAGATAGATAGATAGATAGATAGATAGATAGATAGATAGATAGATAGATAGATAGATATAAAAAGACAGGAAAAAAAGATATATAATAACAGACTGATTTAGATAGATAGATAGATAGATAGACAAAGACTGAAAAACAAAAGATAGATAGATAGATAGATAGATAGATAGATAGATAGATAGATGCGATCAGTAGTCAACTAACTCACGCCTGATTCTTTACTCCATAAATTATTTCTCCAATAACCAACATATGCAAGTAGGTAATATCCTATTTGCCAATCCCATTACATCTCCCTTAACAGAAGTGTTTTAATGCCTTTGGTTATTCTTGAACTTCTTCTACAACTCCTTTCCTCCTCTCCGCCTTGAGGTTTATGTCCTGTTCTTTTTAATGGCGATCTACTTCCGTGTTTGAGTCATTCCCGCTGTCATCCATATCAAAGAAAAGGCCTAATGCCTCCTCCTGACCAATTAAGATCTAGAATTGAAGAGGAAGATGATGTGATGGAAGAAGATCTTGACTAAGAAGAAAGGATGAGTTCTTCAGATCAGGATAATGTAATAGAGAATGAGCCTATTTACTGCTTAGCTATAGATCGATTTCACACGGAAACAGATTGCAAAGTCCATCTGCGTTAATCGGAAGACAAATAAGATTTCCATTAACAATGTCTTACTCGACAAATGAAAAGATCTTTTATAAAAAAGACAATGTGGCAAGTTCTGAGATAACTGCTGCTTTTTCACTATTTCAATAATTTATTTCTGCTACCATCAATCTTCTTGAAAGGTATGTTGGATGGCCTTCTTGCGATAAAGTTACTGATAGAGATCGCTCACTCGGATGCGTAGTTAACGTAACTTCTTTTTGGGATCAAAAATTTTTACAATGGGTTTTTTTTTTCTGCGAGTATTTTTTTAGAATTCTCAAGCGCCAAGTTTTGTCTTTGAGTCAATTTGAACACACCTTTAACACAGTCCGACAAACGGCTCTGTTAAGTCGCTGTATTTTGGTGTGTATTTGTTATAAAATTAATCAATCCTCATGTGGTATTGGAGTTCCTTTTATATACCCAATGTTAAAAACATATGCCGTTAATTTTATTGCCCATCTAAGAATTCTAGAAGAAATAGCTGTCGGCAACTTTCTAGAGTTAAAAATAAACTTTAGAGGTTTATGGTCTTACTTTAATAAGAACATATTAACTAATAAAAATTGTCGAGCTTCGTCTGTACTGCAGACAATGGGCAATGCCTGTTTTCTAATATTTGAATAATTTATTTCTACTGTCGTCAATCTTCTTCAAAGCTACATTATTGGATGGAATTATTGCGATAAAATCGCCCTCTAGCATCCGTAGTTAACGTAAGGTTTTTACAATGGGTTTTCCTGCGAGTATATTTTTTTTTAATTCTCCAACGCTGAGTTTTGATATTTACTCCAACCGTTTCTTCTTATTCTCTCAGCAAATCTTACTTAATATTGGATCATGTACAGTTTTCGATGCTAATCTTTGAGATATTGTCAGTTTCAACCCAATATAATATTTCTTCATCCGAGATTTCAATTTTTCTTTTTGATCTTTATTAAAATGTAACTTTGACAGCGCATCGACATATGACATTGTATTTCCTTTTATATACTCAATGTCAAAATCATATGCCATTAATTTTATTGCCCATCTTAGAATTCTGGAAGAAATAACTTTCGGTAGCTTTCTAGGGTTAAAAATAAACTCTAGAGGTTTATGGTCCGACTTTAATAGGAAATTCTTACCTAATTAAAATTGTCGAGCTCCGTCTGTACTGCCTCTTTTCTTTTTATTTGAATAATTTATAACAATTAACAATAATAATTTTACTGTACTTTTTCTTTTCTTTTTATTTGAATAATTTATTTCTGCTATCGTCAATCTTCTTCAAGGGTACATTATTAGATGGAGTCCTTGATATAAAATCGCTCACTCACATAGGTAGTTAACGTAACCTCCTTTTGGGGATCAAAGGTTTTTACAGTGTTTTTTTTTGTGTTTTTTTGTTTTCGTTTTTGTTTTTATTGTGAGTTCATTTTTTTTAATACTCCAATGTTGAGTTTTGATTTTTGAGTCTATTTGAACTCACTATTCTTTTGACGCAGTTCAGCAAATGGTTCTATTAAGTCACTGTATTTTGGTAGTGTTGTGTCGGAAACCTACCACCCCTCTTGAAGATGAACTTGTCTGTGTCTGTGAACAAAGACTTTAAATAGTGGCATGTCAGTTGACATGGGGAAGATAGATAGACAGAGAAGTTCTTAGCTGAGCTAGTTATTGACTACTCAGGCAATTTCTGTACCTTTTTACCAACCTATTAAAACCCTTTTTATTGTTACGTGTTATTTGGCGTTTGTCTCTACTAACCCCAAATCAACATCATAACAGGTAGGGATCTGTTATAATATTAATCAATCATAAAAAAAGGATTCTAATTGTTTTATATTAGCAAGTATAGATACCTCTGAAATATTCTTAATTAACTTTGGGTCTGGTGCAGTACATCTTTTGAAGATCTGGGACCCTAAATCTGATATTATATTGCAATCAAATTCACGTTTGTTTTTATTGTCATCCCAGCCCCTTTAACTTGTTTGACACATGATCTGTTTTTTTTTTTGTTTGTTTTTGTTTATTTTAATTCGTCTTAATGTAGGCACAGAGACAAGAATCGTCTTGATAAATAATCCTGTTACTAATTTATCAGCTAACACGTTTTCCATTGCTCTCGGAAAAATGGCATCTGCCGTTTTGGCTTGAAAAGATGAGCATCTTAATAATACTGCGGAAATGATTATTGCGTTAATTTCCTTGAATTTATCATCAGTCTGTATTTGATTATAGGAAGATTTTAAATCGTTTTTTCATGCCCATTTATTCGTGGATAGCAGTTGCGGTATTGGGCATAGGAAATGAATCCGAGTAAAGTTTATGATTTAGGCTAATTTAAATCACCACATATTCTTAAGTCTCCATCTGATTTGCACAAAAATACAATGGGAGAAGCCCATTTACTACCACCTGGAGGAATATATTTCAAAATTCCTCTACCATTTTCTTTAACTTGGAGTAAAAATAGAAGGGAGGGGTACTATTTTCATTTATTTGTATGCTCGCTTTATACGACTTTAACACTCCCGTTTATACTTTTTTATTTTCATCCCAGGCTTTTTAACTTGTTTAACACATGATCTGTTTTTTGGGGATTTTTTTTTTCGTTTTAATTCGTCTCTAGTGTTGGCACAGAGGCAAATATCTTCTTGATAAATAATCCTGTTACAAATTTGCTCAATTAACACGCTTTCCATTGCTCTTTGAAAAATGGTACTTGGCGTTCTCGCTCCAAAAGTCATTATCGAACATCATAATAATACTCCGGGGATGTTTATTGTGTTAATTTCCTTGAACTTATCATCAATCTCTATTTGATTATAGGCAGATTTTAATTCAATTTTTTGTCCAAAAGATGTCATGCTCGATAAATTGTGGATAGCGGTTTCAATATTGGGAATAGGAAATGAATCCGGGCATATTTTATGATTTACACCTATTTTAAAAACACCACATATTCTTATGTCGCCATCGGATTTTCGCAAAACTACAATGGAATAAGCCCATTTACTAACCCCTAGAGGAACATGATTCAAAATTTGCACCAAAATTTACATGCACATGCTCCAAGTCTGAGGGAAGGCCACGACTGAATTTGCATTTCCCAACTACCATCGATAGTGGAAATAATCGATTTTTTCATGCTTCTACATCAGTTTTCATCTAGTTTGCGGCCATTTTGTACTGGCCACAGTGAGAGCCTATAGCTGGCTGCCACGAATAGACAGGAAGATTCTATTGGCCAGCGTGAGAGCCAACAGTTGACTGACACGAATGTTAACTAGCATGCTAGCATGCAAAAAAATCGATAGCTGCATTCGTCACAAGTGGGAAAAATTTAAATCTGTATGGCACTTTACTCCAATTCGTTCATTCGCTTGCTTAAACTCAGCATTGATTCTGATTCCACAGAACTGGGTTGGGTGTGAAAAAGTATTTGTTGTTAACATTCTTTTTTCATTCGGTTTTTCCAGTTACGAGTCCTTTTTTAAAGCTGATCGTTTTGTGTTCATTTTGTTTAGTTCTTTTTTCGTAACAGATTTAATGTTTAGTATAGACCTTAGAAAAAATTCGCAGTGTGAGATAGGCAAGAAGTAAGGCATGTAGCAACATCAGCACGGAAAAGGGCACTTCTTCGCAGGCAAGGAAGGGCAAAAATATTTTAAGTCAAGTGATAGCGATTGCTGTATGAATCGTACGATTTTTGAATCAAGCGCGGGCAGCGCCGGGCCATGCTGCTAGTATTTTATAAAAGATCCATCGGATCGTCTCAAATTCAGATGACTTTTCCTCAATTTCAGTTTACTTATTTGTTTCCAGAAATTTCATGGGATTCGAGTGACCTCACTTCCTGTATCCACTTGCATTGGAAAAGTCATGTCGTTCAATTTAATTTTTCCAAAACAATTTTCTCTTAGGTCTTTGTATTGAAAAGATATCATCAATTCCTTTGTCAATTTTTCTATTCTGTCTATTTTCTTTTTAACTTCGTACACAGACTGACAATAATTGTTTTCCACCGTAATTATGGCAAACTTGTTTCTGTCAAAATTATGCCCATAGTTACACTATTTGTATTTCTTGCGTTCTTTTTTTATACTACCCTATACTATACTTTTTTATACTGTACTTTATATCATACTATTGTCCTCAGTAGAATTATAATTTTAATCAATTCCAACTGTTGTATAACTTCCACGCCTACAGTTAGAGACAAAATATTCAATTGTACTTGTCGAAATATCTTATATTTATCAGATATATATATATATATATATATCAGCCACACCTTTAATCAGCTGTAATTGAATAAATTCGCCCTCTTTAGTCAAATCTTGAGTTCCAGTTTCACACCATTCGCAGAATCTGCTAAATTCTCTTAATCTGTGAAGATGTTGCATAATTGATTCATCTTGTTTCTGCTTAATGGACATAATTTTTTTTTTTTTTTTTTTTGTTTTTTTGTTCGCTATTTTTGTTGGGGTAAAGAAAAGACTGTCAACTGATCGTGGCAACAGCAATAGATTTCTTGTTTCTCGGTCGCAACACTTGTAGCCAAATCACAGTTCACAAGTCCGACGTAACAGTGCAACACACACCGTAGAGACGACAAAATGGGGTCACAAATCCAACCTTCACTTCTCGCCAACAACAACGCGTGTTCGTTTTTCAGCTCAAAAAAAATCATCTCCTTTTATAAGCGAAGAACGACGACTTCTGTTCACCGAGAGAATTTTCTGATTGATCACGCCATTCAGGGGAGGGAAGAATATTAGCATAGCTTCTAGTCATTGATGTAGATTTTTGCTGACTACTTTTTTGGTAATTTTTCTTCGACAGATCGCACACAAAACACGAACTTTTTTTTCGGGGTACCTGATTATTTCTTTCACTACAATTTTTTTTATCATTAACACGCTATCCATTGCTCTCTGAAAAATGGTACTTGCTGTTCTCGCTTCAAAAGTCATTCTCGACCATCCGACTAATACTACCAGGATGTTTATTGCGTTAATTTCCTTGAATTTATCATCAATCTGTATTTGATTATAGGCAGATTTTAAATCAATTTTTGTCCAAAAGATGTCATGCTCGATAAATTGTGGATAGCGGTTTCGATATTGGAAATAGGAATAATATCAGAGCATATTTTATGATTTAGACCTATTTTAAAATCACCACATATTCTTATGTCGCCATCGGATTTTCGCAAAATTACAATGGAAGAAGCCCAGTTAGTGACCCCTAGAGCAACATGATTCAAAATTCCAAAATTTTTGAATGTCAAATTTTTCAAGTATTTGGGGCATGCCTTAATTGAAATTTTCATTATAGCTTTAAAAACCTGTTGAAGCCGGGAAAGAGGTTTGTTATTTCATTTTCTCCCTACCCAACCCTCGTTTTGTTTTACTTTCTTTCAATTTCTTGATCATAACCTCGTTTGGAAAACACCGGATCCCACACTCGACAAATTCTGGTTTGTCCAAGCGACTTAAACATCCTATCGACGACGCCATATTGTTGTACAGCGTTGTCCTACGACACGTGATCAGTAATCAACTTACTCCCGTCTGACTCCTTAATTTATACTTTATTTCTCCTATAACTAGCATATGCAAATAGGTAAAATCCTATTTGCCAATCCCATTACAGAAAGAAAGAAAGAAAGAAAGAAAGAAAGAAAGAAAGAAAGAAAGAACAGAGCATACAGGGTTAGATAAAAAGAGAACGATAAACAGACTGAAATAGATATATATATATATGAAAAGACTGAGATAAAAAGAGAGGGAGGAGAGAAAGTCTGGAATAGATAGGTAATTGTGAAAAGACTGATAGATAAATACATACATACATCTGAACAGATAGATAGATAGATAGATAGATAGATATGAAACCTTATATATATATTAATTGTATATAGGTAGCTAGATCTAGCTAGTTAGATATGAAATCTTAGATATGAAATGTAGATAGCTAGCTAAGCAGATAGATAGATAGAAATGAACAGTTTTAGATCAATATAAAAAGCATTAGATAGATAGATATGAACAGTTTTAGATCAATATAAAAAGCCTTAGATAGATAGATAGATAGATAGATAGATAGATAGATAGATAGATATAGATGAAGTTTTAGATCAATATAAAAAGCCTCAGATAGATAGATAGATATGAACAGTTTTACATCAATATAAAAAGCCTTAATAGATAGATAGATAGATAGATAGATAGATAGATAGATAGATAGATATGAAGTTTTAGATCAATATAAAAAGCCTTGGATAGATAGATAGATAGATAGATAGATAGATAGATAGATAGATATGAAGTTTTACATCAATGTAAAAAGCCTTAGATAGATAGATAGATAGATAGATAGATAGATAGATAGATATGAACAGTTTTACATCAATATAAAAAGCCTAGATAGATAGATAGATAGATAGATAGATAGATAGATAGATAGATAGATAGATATGAAGTTTTAGATCAATATAAAAAGCCTTAGATAGATAGATAGATAGATAGATAGATAGATAGATATGAAGTTTTAGATCAATATAAAAAGCCTTAGATAGATACATAGATAGATAGATAGATAGATAGATAGATAGATAGATAGATTACCCCATATAATGAAGATATCTTACCTCCTTCCGCAGCTTCAAAACTCACAAAATATTGACAAAAAATTAATATTTGTACAACAAATAAGAAACGAAAAACAAGTTTGAACATTAAAAAGTTATGAACTCTTCGTTCCAAATTCTGTCAATTTTAAAGCTTCATATTAAAATTTTTACAATATCCGAAACCTTTTTCATCCACTGTCAATGAAGAAAATGAAAGGATGCTTGTTTGCCGACGAAATTCAGTTTAAAATGAAAAACATATTTTATGTTTTTTGAAACATGAATGCTTCAAAAAATTCCCTTTGCAGTTTGCTTGATTTCACTAGGTCATCAGCAAGGCTACCCCACGACGTCCATGTTAAACGACCTCCTTTGTAAAATATATGTAGATTATATAGACTAGCTGAAGTACTCACCTACACCGGGTAAAAAGTCAATAATTTAATCGAATATGCTTGCAATTAAAGTAGAAAGATTCAATTCCCGTCCTGGGTAAGATGATAAACTATATCCGAATGATGTCACACACTACAAAATGGACAAAGTCCGACAATTATTTTAATTATTAAATGTCGATTTCAAATCAAAACCGAGGCATATATTCTCTTGAGAAAGGCATAAATCTATCTCTCCGACAGCTATGAATTAGTAATAGCGCACACCGAGCTCGCTTGCGTTGATTGACAATTAATTTCCTTCCATTCTCATTTGGAATTCAGAGTTTTCATTCTCCCCAACTGGTTGCTAATCACGGCTAGAGAGTATAGTGTATTTTTCTATTTAACCCATAGTTGGAGGGACAAGAGATTGATTTATATCTTTTTGAAGTGTTATTCTCGTATGCTCGTATGCTTATTGCTCGTAAATGAACGTAAGTAATTCAGCTCTCTGATTTCTAATCCCGAGCCACTAACCACTACACAACCCATATCATCCATCCGTCCTTTCATGGAATATTTTACTGTCATATATGGTCTGGTGTTCCCGCTTGTCTATCTCCAGGTCCTTGACTAAATCCAGAGACGAATATGCAAGATGATAGGTCCTGATTTGGCATCTAGTCTACAATCGCTATCCCCCAGATCTGCTGTGACCTTCCTCTGTCTTTTCTACAAATATTTTCACGGCAACAGTTCCGACGAGGTACTTTCGCTGGTCCCTGGACTACATCACTTTGAGCGAGCTACCAGACTGGCATCTCGGTCCCACCCTTTCTCTGTCAAAATGGTTAAATGTAACCGTCTCTTCTTCTCAAACAGCTTCTTTTCTCGAACTTTCCATCTGTGGAACTCACTTCCCCTTACTTGCTTCCCCGATGACTATAATTTTCAAATATTCAAGTGTAATGTCAATCGACATCTGATACCCTGAGCTTGTTTCCCGTCCTTCTCTGTATACTTTCCTAAAACACGCCTCTTTACTCTTGTTCTCAATCCTCTGTAACCCCTTGCCTGCTAGTGGCACTCCCGCCTTTCTTGCGGGAAAATAAAAAAAGATATCCTTTAAGTTCATGATTCCGCTCGCAAAAATGTCGGTGGGTCATCTTCTGGCCATTAGTCGGACGTTGGCTCCAGAGCAGCAACTCATCCACCCACATCACAACGATGTAACATTTGGCCACTTGAAGACTAGTCATCAAATTGACTAAGGAACCCCATCTACCTCGGTTTTTTTCATGTTTTTTATCATTTCATCCCAAACAAGGCAATAAAGCCGCTGAGATGCAAGGGGTTACTGAGTGTGAAAGAATACAAGAAAAAGAAAACATTATTAATCAGAAAGAACGAAAGGAGAACAGAAATTAAGAAAACAGAATATAACAAATGAGATTGCACTTAAATTTTTGGAGATCAAAGTTCATTGAAAAGCAAGAACCCGGAAGAGGGCGCCACAGGTGAAAAGTGCGATAGAAGAAACTGTTAGCATAGAACTTACGGTTACATCTAGCCATTTCAATAATGAGATGATGAGACAATCTATTCAGTTATTTGCCATCCGTGATCCACGCTTAGGCGATCATGTAATTTTCGATACATGTCTATCGAAGCAATTTTTCCCCGCAGTAGGTTGCCATTTCTTTCTATGGTAGACCAGTTGCCATCCAAGGCTATAGAACCGGGTCTGTCCTGCTATTTATCAATACCTGGTGTGAGAAGAAGAGGATTCATACCTTTCCCAATGGTATTAGCACGTAAGTGAATGTAATGGATTCGATTGGAATTCGAACTACAAGGAATCAGTCAGTTATTTGCCATGCGTGATACACGTTTAGACGATCATGTAGCTTTCGATACATGACTGACGAGGTAGTTTTTTTCCCTGCAGTAGGTTGCCATTTCTTTCTGCAGTGGCCCAGTTGCCATCCAAGGCTATAGAACCCAGTCTGTACCGCTATTTATCCATAGCTGGCTGGATAAGAAGAAGATTCATACCTTTCCTAAGTGAATGTAATGGATTCGACTGAAATTCGTTACATTCACTTATGTGCTAATACACTTAAGAAAGGTATGAATCCTTTTCTTCTCCTCCCCCCAACTATGGGTAAATAGCAGCACAAACTATCTATTAGTATGCATAAATTTATAAATTCTAGGTACCAAATAGAAAATCTCATCAGGTGTTCTTTTTCTAAAAAGTTTGTCAACCAAGGCTAACAATCTATGTCTGCCCGTAGTCCAAGGCGTAATGAACTATGCAAGTCAGTGACGTTCAAATTTCTGTTGTATTTGAAATACCCGCACATCCGGATTGCCAACCAGTTTAGGAGAAATATAACTCAGATTTGAAAACCGGTTGGGTGTAGGCCAAGTAGCACCACCTGGTAAAACGTACTTGCTACAGAAACCACTGTAGTAGCATCTAGTCCGGTGAGGCTGTGGCAATAGACGTCTATAGAATTAACATTCATGAACGATTGGAATTGTTTTTTTTTTGTTTTTTTTTTTTTGTTTAGCGATGGAACAAACGAACACTTTTCAATTGCATAAATTAATCTAGACCAATTTCCTCAGGTTTGTTCCGCAATGTTTTGACCGCAATTTCTCAATTCGATACGAATTCGCGGTATCTTTCTTTTGTGTGTGTCATGTCCCTTCAGGACATGGACGATCATAGTCTCCACCACTTTCTCCCCCTTATAGTACTACGCAATGTTTGTTCTTTTATTATCCATCTTTGTCGTCCATTCGCACTACGTTACCTAATGTTTCACGTATTGACTTCAGTACATACGGTGTGTGTCAAATTCTCCAAGCCTATTTTTCTCGTTATATATTCCAGAAATCTCAACTGATTCTTTTAGATGTCATGTATAGTTGTCCTTTTTTGCTCGTCTTTTCGTTAAAACTTCCTCATTGCTCACATGCTCTGTCTGTGACATTCCCAGGATCCTTCTGTATAAACACATCTCCATTGTTTCAAGCCTCCAGAATTTACTGGCATGTAGGTAGACTGATATTACGTAACAGATGTGCTCTTTGTTTTCTTTTTTTACTATTGCGTTTAGTTTCTGGAAGGCATCTTTCTCTATTCAAAAGCGTTTTCGGATTTCAGTGTTATATTTTTTTTTCACCGCTTGATGTAACCATTCACAGGCAATTAAATTTCTCTTTTTGTCCTTTTTTTGTTCCCCTTCCTCATTTCCCACATGCTCAGTCCAGGGTATTCTCAGTATTCCTCTGTCGAAGACATTTCGACAATCTTTAATCTTCGTATCCACAAAAACTGTCTTAAAATAACAGGAGATTTTTTTCCATTGACACCGCTATTACTTTAACTACCTTCACTCCCCGGTAATGTTTATTGTTTTAAAAACATTTTTTTCAAATTTTCTTCAAATTTAATAAAACCTAAACATGTAAAAGTGAATTTATACATTATTTTTGTTCTTGAGATTTGACAGCAAAATATTAAACACTGTTTTATTTGAGATTATTTTATTTACAAGAATAATTTTATATTTAAAACATTCTAAAAACAAATACAATTGTATTAAAACTCATGCAATATTTACCATTTTCTAGTTCATAAAGAGGCAATGGATAGCGGCTCAGATTGAGGAATAGGAGAACCGAATTCAGTCGAATCCATTACATTCACTTACGTGCTTATACCCTTATATCCTCTTCTCCTCGCCCAGCTAAGATTAAATAGGGTTCTATAGCCTTGGGTGGCAACTGTTCTACCGCAGAAAGAAATGGCAACCCACTGCCGGGAAAAAATCTGCCTCGTCAGTCATGTACCAAAAAATACATGATCGCGTAAGCGTGTATCACGCGTAGCAAATAACTGACTGATATTCACTTACGTGATAATACCCTTGATAAAGATATGAATCATCTTCTTCTCCCCATCCACAGCTATGGGTAAATAGGGTTCTATAGCCTTGGGTGGCAACTGGTCTACCGCAGAAAGAAATGGCAACCCACTGCCGGGAAAAAAATCTGCCTCGTCAGTCTTGTATCGAAAGATACATGATCGCGTGAGCGTGTATCACGCATGGAAAATAACTGACTGAGTTTACAAAAGATAAATAATAATAAATCTAGAATGAAGGATGTAAAACTGTGAATCCTTTTTTCGTGTGGAGCTCATAGCGGAACTCATATATAGGAACCATTGCTAAAGTTTCTGGAAAAATGCCGGGTTCCTTATAATCATACCAAAAAGTAATGACTCCTCCCGACATTTCCTAGCTTTGCCATGGTCAGATTAAGCCCAAAATGTACAATCATACTTATTATAAAACCCAGGTTGTGTGTGTGTGTGTCTGTTCGTTTATATATTGGATCGGATTTCCTACATTTTTCAACCAATTTTAACAAAACTTCACAGGACTACGTAAACTTACCTTGCGGTGGTTCTGACAGCACCAAAAATTGGAAAAACACAATTGTTTTTGCACGAAATCGATTTGAAAACACAATTAAGAGGCATCACTGTCGCGAGAATGAAAGGGGGACAACTCATATCGTGTTATATTTATTATAAAACCCAGGGTTTTTTTTTTTGTGTGTGTGTGTGTTCGTTTATATATTGGATCGGATTTCCTACATTTTTCAACCGATTTCAACAAAACTTCACTTTTATTTTGGCAGGTAGTGTTTC